AACTTTTCTTCTCATCCAAGCAGGGGGTTAAGTTTTTAATGTAGCAAACTGAAGTTGATCACGCTCCAATTCTGTCTTCTTACCTCTCACCCTTGTCCCTCACTTTGCCTCCCATTCTAGCATCACGATCGGTCATCTTGGCTATCATGGGCAGTATTTCTCAGGACTTGATAAAGTCATCTGATGGATGCCCTGGACCTTAGTTTCATTTACAACATTTAAATGCGTTGTTCTTTTTGCTTGAGTTGGCCTGTTAGTGCTTACTGAAAACAGCTTGATGTTGAAAATATTTTAGTAGAAATGTCAGAAATTAATTCGAGAGCGGCAATTTCTAGATGATAATCAGCTCCTCTTTTTTGTACCAATATCATCCCTCATTTAATTAGGTCGTAGCAAGGTTTTCTGGAGTTGATTTTTTGTTGGTTACCCCTAACAAAGGAAAACTTTCTCTGCAAATACTTTCTATTCCAATTACTAGAAGCTTTGCATAATATTTTTCACAAATTGCTTTAAATTGCCTGCAATTCTTCGGAGTTGCATCCCTGGAGAGATGATTCGTGGCACTCTTTGCGGCTTAAACTGTTATCGTAACCAATTGCTTGATTCATTTCAGGTTCAAGAATTTGTTAACGGCTACAACCTCTTGCGTGAAATGGGATTTGCAACAAGCACCGTTGCGGAAGCCTTGATTATGAATGAAAATGATACGGACAAGGCATTAGCTCACTGCCTAAACGGCCCATCCTGAGAGTCCTGAAGCTTATTTGTTGTACATCCTATGTATTCATTGATAGCTATTAGATTGGTGCTTCTGTATAATGTTGAATGACGTTCAAGTATAGACAATAGAGATGCTTGTAATCTGTTCTCGCTTCTAATATAAATACTTTTTCGTTCCTTAATATAAGACCTAATTAACTAATTTGAGTAAATTAAAAATATGTGTTAAATTAGTCATTATGATATGTTTTTTATAAAACACTCTAAGCATTTTTTTTAGTTTCTCTGCTCTCTTTCTTACTTGATTATTATTAGAAAAATATTAATAGAGTTCATTTGAAAAAAAAAAAAATAAACATGTGAAATAGTTTTTGCTATTTCTAATTCTAATTATACGATTTTGTTTATAATCTATAAATGAGGTTTTATAATTATGATTAGAAATAGTATATATAGGATTAATATCAATTCCTCAGTGGGATTATATGTTAAGGACTGAAAAGTACCTGTGAGTTGAGAAGGAGAAGAACGATCAAATCCATGGGGTATGCCCTTCCTTTCTGCCCCCTCTACTCTAGAAGTTATATAACCATAGCAGCAAAATCTGGGCTTAACATCTTTTGCAGACGGCACATGCAGATTGATCTTTTTGTCACAAGTGATCGCACTGTCTCAAGTCCACTGATGGTGGGGAAACTTTTGTCGGGAGATTTTCTATCGCTCAAACAAGGCAATGTCTGATTTCGGCGTATCATCCCGGTCCTAGGCAACAACGTCCTGTCCCATATTTTATGGGACCGCCTTCTTCGGTTATTTTCTCCCCCCCCCCCCCCCCACCCCACCCCACCCCCCCCAAAAACAATTACTATATGGTTGTTAATATAAAAATGAGTTAGACTAATTTAAATAAAGGTACAATAAATAAGTGTTGTTTTTTGTAGAATGTTTGTGCTAATCATGTATATTAGTTAGAACTGTCATTTGATTAAATCTTTAACATGCGTAATTACTACAAGAATATTAGAAAAAATAAATAAATATGAGAGACAAAATGAATTGAAATTTTATATTTAAGATAAAATTATAAATAAATATGAGAAATAAAATAAATTGAGATTTTATATTTAAGATAAAATTAAAATTCAGAATAGTTTTTATATTTAAGATAAAAGGTAATATCATTTTCCTCTTTTCCTGTAACGGAGATGCACTTCAGCTTCCTAAGGGGAAAAAAACAGAGTCGAGACTTTGGAATTTAAACAAGTTGAGGCGAAGTGAATCCTCTTGACTTTCGGACTTGAAAATTGCAGAAGCATTAAATGATTTTGGATTAGTCAAAATAAAAGGTCAGACTGAGCAGAAAGGGGAACAGTAAATAAGAAAGGAAAATTTAACCAAAAAAGATAAACAAAAGAAAGGAAAATGCGAAGATGACCAGTAAATTTGAGTATCCCAAAAGAATTAGCTCATCATTGTGTCTCCTCACATATTCCCGAGGATTCTGAAAATTTCTTGGTAGCATGAGCAGCAAACACCTGATAAGCATGTTCCCCTCCCACCCTCTTGAACTTTATTATATTATACAACATTTTGATATATAATAATAGAGTTATTGTGTATAACTTTCATGCAATACATCCTCGCTATGGAATACTCATCCGTTTCAAATCTTCTTTTTGTTTAAAATTTTAGACGTGAATTAAAAATGGATTGATTCTCATAAAACGAAAAAAAAAAAAAAGTCTTCTCTATTTGGTACGATTCTGTCCCCCCCCCCCCAAAAAAAAAAAAATCTCGTGTAAAAGTAATTTATATCAAACGCCACTTCAGGCCAATATATAATCAAGCATGTGTAGTTTTGACAATTATATTGTAAAGCCAATTTGATGATAAAGGGTTTTTAACTTCTTTCGTATTAATCAAGCTTTCCCTCATGGTCGTCAATTATTGATTATAATATACACAAATATTTGGTTGAGTCTTGTGCTAGCCTTTTGACTTTCGAGATCCAAATTTTATCAGCTGATCGTCCATGTCTTTTAGGCCCACGAATAGACGTCTTCCTCCTTTTTTGTCTTGCGCATCACCTTTAACATTTTACTAATAAGAATTAGTTGAGTTGGAAAGGGTGATCTTATGATCCTCAATATTATGAGTTTAAATTCTGCTGATATAAGAATCTTGTTAGTGAGTGATTTGTAAGTGTTTTTGTAAGTGCTTTTGTAAGTACTTTTTAAGCCTGGAGATATATTTTAACAATTAGTAAGTTTCCATGATTTAACTCACCTGAATTTTTTAAGTACAAAAAAAAAGTGACATTTTTCAGTCCCATTGTCTTTGCAATAAATAATCAATTAATCACACTCATTAATGAATTTAGATGTTAAACTCAAAAAAAAAAAAAAGAGGATGGTTTACCCCGTGAGTTTAATTAACTTCCCAAGAAATTGACTTAATGGACGCATCTATGGGACATAGAGCTACATCTATTGTGCAACCGTACTCCAATATATATAGTTGAAATTTGAAGGCACTAAGAGATCCTGTTCTAAGAATCAATTTTAGATTCGTTGGCCCAGAAAAAATATAGGCTCAATTATTTTTTTGAATATTCTATAAACACTTAAAAAAAATATTTTTATATAAGTTGAGATAAAATTCTTCTCACGTACTTATTTGGAATACCACAAAATCATTTCTAAAAAGTCAATCTAAACCACTCCATCAAAAAATAAGAAAGTTTAGCACACAAAAAATGAAGACGAAAATTAAGATGGTTAGTTTATAATTTTTTATACTACGATCGATCTAAGTTAGCTATGCGAATATAGTTGTTAAAAATTTCTCCTAGGAAATCCTTTTGTTTTTTTTATGATAAAATAAAAGCACGGAGAAATTATATTATACATAAGCTCTCTTCTATCTGAGTAATATGCTTTCAGCTTGACTTTTGTTCATTCATTAATTTTCAATTGGTTCAATATATATATATATATATATATATATATATCAGTCCCTTTATTTTCGAACAGGACATCGTTGTCCCAGCGTTGACAAGCATTTTAGAAATTAGTTAGTTCACCTTCACGTGATCATCATCACCCATCACCTTCCATTTTAGAGTTATCTCATTTGATTCTCCTTCTGCTCTGAACAAAATTTAATTTATCACTCTCATTATTTTGAGTACATAAAAAATTACTCCTTCAGTCCTTAATATAGGACCTAATTGTTGAGTTGATTTTGATATATAAGATCTATTTCTCATATTTATTTTCTAAATTACCTCTATAGATACTCCCTCAACCATAATCAAGTAGAAGAGGGAGGGAAGATATTAAGAAAGATGATTATGATGTTTTAGGAAAAACATGTCATATTTCTTATAATTAACTAATTTATTTAACCTTTTTAATTTAATCAAATTAGGTAAATACGTCTTATATTAAGAACCGAAGGAATATTTCATATTTTGGGATCTCTGTCTTATTAAGTTTCTACTAATTAAACATCTCGATAGCTATTTTTCACCACTAGGTTTATGATCTAATAAATAGATAACCTAGTAATTTTTTTCCAAGCTCATTTAACTTATTTTGGTTTTGAATGCCGCAGCTTAAAAATTTTCTTAATAAATCTCTTCGGATTTTGATTAAGATCCAGTTAAATCTCTGCATCATCAACTAGCCCATATATATGAATGCATTAATTGCATAAATTTAAAGAAATATTGGGAATACATGTATAGATTTGCACAGATTTCATCACTTCATGAATCACATCAATCACGGTTCATATAGGCTGAATATGAATGCCTAAATAACTTAAATATCTTCTAGAAGCAGACTGAAGTGTTTATCAGATACATTAACTATTGTAACCCTAATTTAGGCCGGCTATATATGGGAGTTTTATGCAAGTTTGGTGCGCGTTGTAATGACCAAGATTTGCCAAGAACAATAGAAAATTCAAGTACTCCTCTTGTTTCAATTTTTAAGACGCTATTGTAGTAAATTGTGAGAACTAATGAATATTATTAAATATAATCAGAAACTAATTTTTGTGATAAAAAAGTATAAACTTCTTAAAATATCTTTCATTTCATACCACATGAATGGTATTTTTAGAACGACAATATCATTAATGAATCATTATTTTATCCAAGACATTATATGTACGGTATTATCACTGACAAAAAGTCATCGTCAAAATTCTTTTTTTTTAGTGTGTGTTATGAAAAATATTTGATAAATCGAAACTGAAGAATAACAAATAATACAGAAAGACGGGAAGCAATAACATACATTGCCAACCAAGTAGTGCCATATGGAGTACTAAATGTGACAAAAATGGCGTCAACCATTAATCTCATTAATTAGATAAATGATAATGCCATCGAGAAGTTACCTATCTGCTAGCCTCCAAAAGAACAACAAATACAAAATTTCCAATTTAAGCCTGTTTAATTTGTTTGTGTGTGTGTGTATGCCATCATCCTTTCTCTGAGAAACTAACTACACCATGAAATGAGTAAATCAAATGTCTAAACTGAAATTAACTACAATAACTAGCAAATTACTAACCAGTTAGCTAAATAAAGTGTTGAATAAATCAATAGTACGAGGTGAAACAAAGTAATTAGAAGGGCTAGGGATGAAACCACCACCCTCCGTAAAATTCCTGCTGCTATGAAGCACGGGGTTCACATCATGAAAAAGGCTAACCACGCCAGGCTCCGACGTTGACGGCGGCGAGAAGAAACTCGACGGGATCGGAGATAGAGAAGTGGGTCCCGGCGACAAAATCCCATGAGACATGCTCGTCGTGGTGCCATTAATCTCCGTCCCTTCTGCAAAACCCACGTCAGCATTCGAATGCTGCAACTTATTCTTGGGCGATGACCTAGCTTTCTCTATAGCTGCGAAACGCGCTGCAGGCGAAACCGTACCCCCATGGCTATCATTAGCGACACTGAAGGGATCATCGTGATTTGAGGAAGACGAGGAATTATTATTATTAGAAGAATGAGATCCTGTGAGGCGCTGAACGAGGCTCATGAAATCAGAAGGAGTGGTGTGGATAATCTTGGGAGAAACAGTGTAGATTATAATGGGTTGGCGAGGAGGGGGCTGAGGAGGAAGTGGGGGCTTCTTGATCTTATGAGAGTCTTTGTTGATCTTGAGAGGCGTGGGACGTGGGCCTTGAAGTTCTGAAGATCTTCTGGGAGATTTCCCAGTGGGATCCATGCGTGGGAACTCCATATGGTGCCAAAGTTTCAATTTTGATGGGAGGAGGAGGAGGATGAAGGAGATATATAAAGCCAAATTAAAGGCAGAATTACAGAAACGCTGGTCAACGAGGAGGAGGGGCATTATTTTAATGGTGTGTGCATTATTTGCTGGTAAAGTCTGGCTTCCTCTAACTTGAATATTTTAAGTGTTTAATTAATTCAAGAGCGAGGCCGGTTTCGTGATGTTATGCTTGTTTGGACTCTGGCTGTGTCTATTCTTCAAGTTTGAAAGGGTCATGTCCCACACTTGGAGCTAGTGGCCATCCATGATGACGTCGGATGTAATTAAGTCTCCGATCCTCTCAATTCTTTCACATTCAAGATCCCTCGTCGAAGAAAATAGTACTTATCTGTTTATATTAGCTTCATAATCACAGTTCCTGATCACTTTATCTCTTCTATATGTATAAAAGCTCATGAGTGAATATGAATTCTGAACTCAATAATGCTGCACACGGGAAAAGAACAAAATATTTCAGAATCAGCAAATTGTAGCTAAACCCTCTCCCAGGGACCAAAAAATTATGCCTAATTTTCAATTCAATTATACTTTGAGGAATGAAGAATTGGATTTGCCTCCAGCGACATTACTACTACTTGTATTATCACAAGACCGTATATATAGTTGGCTCATTGATCTTTCCCCTGCTGACCTGGCAATTATTCATGATCTAAAGACAATTGGCTGCTTCTTCACGACCAAAAGATCCAAACTTTGTCAGGAAAAATACTGAGGCTTAACTTAGATAGTAATCTATATCCAAGCCTTCGCTTCCCATTCCTAGCCTTGCCTCAAAAGTGTCACTCATTTGATTCTTCGATTTTCAATTTTTTTTAAGAATTATTACAAGCTTTAATTTTGATAAATAACATGGCATGGATCTCTGTAATTTTTTGCTCCAAATTGATAACGTCCCCTTGAAAGTGTCACTCATCTGCTTCTTCGAGTTATGTACAATGAATTCTTGCAATTATTACAAGCTTTAATTTATAAATAACATGGATCTTTAAAATTTTTTTATGATGAAGCTTGTGGCTTTGCCATTCAGATTTTCTAAAAATATTGCATCACGCACTTTAGACTAATCAATTTATTGTTAAAAAAATTCGTATATTATCTCTAGAAGTAATTGGATTTCTCACAATATTATAAAGAAGAGTGTCAAAAGGAGAAAAAAGCGTAGTCCATGGCTTGCCATAGAATGTTCTGTATAAATATATTAATTCTTTAACAAATTAAAAAAAGAAGAAGAAAAAAGGGTACAAAAAGTGAGATCTTCCGTCGTCTTGTATCTTTCTAGCTAGGTTCGTCTGTTTATAAATTTACTTTTAGGATCCATGATAACTCATCACATAAGTCGCATTTAAATGTAATAATCATCTAGAAGGCTTTTGTGGTTACGGCTCCTGAGGCTGAATCACAAGTCTCATTTGACGGCTTCATCTAAATCCAGCTACCTATTTCCTGCAACCTTCATGCAGAGACCTCTTCACTGTCACTTTCAGAGTTCAAGTTACCCACTTCATTCATTAATTTAATCCTTCAGCATAACAAATGAATCCAACTTTGTTTGGCCCATTCCGGGCAACCACGTATTAGAAAGATATATATAATCTAGTAAAGGTGATTTAATTAAATCATTAGTTTATCTTGATGAATGGAGCCAAAAGCTTTTCCAAATGGAAGATCCATGCATCCCCACCAGGCAAATAAAAGTAGGTTGCGACTTGAGATTAATTAGCTACTTTTTGAGGGCTGATTTTCTGGATGCTGGTTCATTCCATTTGTTGTGCGTGCTTGCCCCGCCTCCGTCAACGCATAGCAGCTGGCTAGCTTCAACATGGTGTCCCTTCCTTTTTCTGAAGAAAAATTCTGAACACGGTTGAAAGATGTTGAAAAAGTTATTGGCAATAAGGGAGATATTAAGTTTTTAGGACAAGTATATGTATGTATAACCAAAAGTTGTGAATTTAAGGTTATTTGCGTTGCATATTGAACTAATAAATGTATGAGAGAACCAATAAGCTGTTGGTTCAATAATAAGCGGTCTCAACCTTATAAAAAAAAGAATATAAGTTCAAATTCTGAAAAGTACACTTATTGAAAAGACTTTAATCTTAATATTCTCAATCTGATAGAAATCAATCTTAAGTCTAAAATGACTTGAAAATACTCTAAATTATACTAGAAAAAAGTATGTGAGAGATAAAAAGTTGGGTTAGATTACAAAATTTATTATACATGCTTTATCTATTAATTAAATGTGTAATACATAGTGCAAATTAGCGCAAATTAAATAATTAAAAATTTTACTTTTCCTATTTACCGCTATCTTCCCCGCGGAGGGAGGAGGAATTGGGAGGAGTCATGACACATTATTGGCACCCCGGGTTTTCAAATTTTTGTTAAGTATCGCACTGGTTATACATTTTTATCCTCAAAATTCATGCAAACCCTGCACATGCACACACATAATATTTACATAGACCCTCGGCCCTCTTATTATCAAATTTGATTTCAGCCCGTAATTGTAGATGATTCAAATTATAATATAAGAACTAGTTTGACTTTTAATTTGATTCTAAATATAAGACTTCATCTACTTTATCTCTCATATTTATCTATTTGTTTCAAAATAGTCCTTATAGTAGTTGCATGTATTAAATGTTCAATCAAAGAGTAGTTTTAGCTAATGCATAATTAACATGAGTATTTTAAGGAAGACAACACGTAATTATTACAAAAAATTAACTCAACAAAATTTCTTAATCTACTCAAATTAATCAATTAGCTCTTATATTAAGGACAAGAGGTAACCATTAGATTTGATTCTAAAAATAAGATCTCAATTCACTTTATTTTTCAAATTTGTAAATTTTTTTCAAAAATGTCATTGATTGTAAGAAAAATTCGGTTAGTTCCAAACTTCCAATGTGCATAATTAAAGAAACTAGTTTAGGAAAGTCCACTTATATTTGTTACAATTAATTAACTTAACTAATTTTCTTAATCATCTCAAATTAGTATTTAACTTTTATATTGAGCAGTGGAGGTGGCATTAATTTGTAAGAAATCATTGATTACGGGCCTTTTTTTTTTTGGTCAAATACGGGGCATGTTTAGTTAGATGTGTTAGTTATGACTTGGCTAGTCCCACCCAATATATAATACCATGCATGCATGTCTTGAGCAGCCTCCGAAGTCTGAACTACCCCTCTCACTCCCATTGAACATGTCAACAGTACGTCTACTTTCCCTCTTAATTAATCGATTAATTTTTTTTTAAAAAAAAACCTCCTTCCTTCATTTCTAATCCCTAACAGTCTAACACACACCCCTTTCGCTTCTGTGTTTACAAATTACAACCTTCTTTGCTTTTAAAACACAATTGCTTAACTGCTCTTTTCCTTTCATTATCTTTTTTTTAAGAATTAATGAAAAATGAGGCCTTAATTAAAAACTAGTCAATTATACTGACGGTCACTTCATTTTCGTGAGATAGATACCACGGAGGTTGAATATGCCCTTCATGCTTTTTAACTGGTCAATTCTCATCAATACGCTTGTTCTAGCCACCTATACTTCCTAAGTCTTTAACATTGAGTAGCTAAGTCTTTAACATTGACATAATCAGAAAAAAAACTGTTTCTCAAACTTTGCAATTCTCAGTCCGATAAATCAAATTAAAATTGACGCCTTTCTTTTTATTCGTTTTTTTTTTGGGCGCAACTATTCATTGTTTTTGTTACCATGAGATTTGGTCGAAAACACTTCAACTCTTATTATTTGATTGTAAAATATGAAAAATTTATCAATGGCTTTACCTCTACCACAAGATTAAGAAATGGTCGTTTAAGGTTTGACCGAATCAGAGCGGAGTCCATGCCAAGACCCAGGACAAAACAATAATTTTTATATTTTTTAAGGAAAAATAGCAAACATAAGAAAGAAAATAATCCAAGACGATTAGCAGACAAGTGCAATTAATATAGCCTAGAAGTAATAAATTTTTTCTAATTAACAATAACGAAAAAAATTCAACTTCTTTAACATACTGTTCTTAAGATTGCCTTCTTCTTTGCCTTTATATATATATATATATATATATATATATGGGGGAAAACTTAGGACAATTAAAACTGGTATACTATGTATGAACAGGTCTTGGTGGTCTTGCGCATGGGAAATGAGAAATGAAGAAAATGGAAGGAAGAGTTGGGTTAGGTGAATGGTTGAAAATTGCAGAGCCCAATGAAGGGTCAAATGTCCAAAAACATGACCTCGCTTGGACCCTCGCAGCGCTGCAATGGGCCCCCCATCCCAAACCACCCCTTTCACTTGTCTAATCACTGCTCCTTTCACTTCAATATTAAAATCCTCAAGAATGATCAGGACGGTCAGTTCCCTCCAAGGTTTGAGAGGTACCCACGTTTAAAAATTCTAAAGTGTCTTAACAAAACTACTTTTAATATAAAAAAAAATTATTTATAAAAAAAATTTCCGTGAAAAGTTCAGCATCTTTTTATTAAGATTTGGGAAACTTCACGAATGAAAAATATTACAAAAGTCTTCTGATCGGCGCCTATTTGTGATCCCCTTCAACTAAATTATTTTAAATTAAAAGGACTACGAACTCTTATTCACAGGAGAATTCTCATGCTTTAAAATCATTGGCATTCAACTCAAATTTTAACACCCATAGTATCAAATATACCGAATGATAATCATTTTAAAAAGTGAATGAATAAATAAAAAACCATGGTAGCTTCTGTTGCTTCTCATAAATGCTGCTGGTCAATCCACACTCCATACCAAGTAGCCCTCCCGCAGGCCGCAGTAGATTCATACACCCTCTTCAAACACTTAATGCTCTTGATCAAGTACTCACTGGGTTATTTTATTTATACGTAGACAATCGTACTCGTATATCATATTCGATATTACATATTCTCATGGATTGATTACCTTTTTTTATAAGTTCCATATCTAAGTTATCACCGTTACATGACAAGGTTTTTGTGAGTTGAGACAGCTAAAAATATTTTCATGCAAACACATACTTGGATATTGAAATTCTCCTTAAAAATTATGCATTTTTTTTAAAACATCGCTTTAACAAATAGTTACGATCTGCGAGGACAGAAGGCCACTCATCAACTCAGGCATATCAATATCAATAAATAGTGATAAACAATTTGCTGGGCAAGGAAACTGAAGCGCATCAATGCTATATGGTGTGGTTCAGTTTGGTGGAGGTGGTCCATGGAAGAATGATGGCCATGAAAAGGCACGTGCATGTCGGAACTCTTAATCACCGAATTACCCCGGCCTATATGCCATCGAAATCGAACTCTCTTGAAGCACACGCTTGTCTCTGTCTGTACGTACCTTCATACTGTACCCATTATCGATCAGCTTTGCTCACGTTCGCGAGAACGACTTCCCACTTAGTGCTAACCATTCTCTTGAGCTTGTACTCCTGATGAGTCAATTCCCACAGTGAACTCACTTTTCTTGGTTTAACCAGAAATGTGTCGTTTCCCATTTTTAATCAGTTTATTTGTGGATTCTCAAGTCTTTTCTCTCGAGGTGGATCAGTTGTTCACGTGGTTCTACCCAACGATATCAGGCTAGTTTGGCATCTATCTTTATAAGCTTTGGCTAGAATGCTCTGCGCATCTACTTCGTACAGTGCAGCAAGTTGCACTGTCTGCATGTCACTGTTTCCTGGTCAGGCCTCAATCAATTTGGCTTCCTTCTTTTTCTCAAAAATCTGTATATTTGGTTCTGTGGGTGGTGTGGCTCATTACGAGTCACAGCCATTCGTTCTTCATCATGTACAGCAGATGCACATGGAATCAATCTTGATCAGGCAAATGAGGCAGAATTCTTGTGGGAAATCATGGGTTTGCCAGATTGAACTGTGACTAAAACAGCTGCCTCTGTTACAAATCACTCCGTTTTAGCTTATGGCATACTTCAAGACCCGAGAATGGTTTCATTCAAATTAACACTGCAATCCTAGTTCTCTTAAGGTTACATAAGTTCATGAAGCTTGCAATATGCTGATGGTGATGCAGAAAAGAACAATATATAGCTATATGCGGATATTGCGGTTTCTGTATGCCTCAGCCCCCTTGAAGCCCCACAAAAATTTACTCTAATTCTGATGTGCCCTATCATCTCGGGCACCGCCTTTCTTTTGGTCGTATTGAATCTGATATCTGAGGAAAATATGTGAGTCTGTCGGTGAACGTTAAATCAAGCAATTATATAGATACAAGAGGACAAAAAATATCTTTTGACAAGCACCCCCCCGGGGGGGGGGATAGAGGAAAACGAAAAAAGACAGAAGGCAGTGAAGACACTAAACCAATCACTATGGTCTTTCTTGACACAAACTAGACCCACTTGTACTGTATATCTGTAAGAAATGAAGCAGTAATTTACAATAATAATGGCTTACACTTTATATCTGATATTGATCATTGCCACTATTGATTATTGAATGCCCTTGACAAGAGGTAAAGTCACCAATTTAAAAGTCCTATATATGTGTGTTCAGGACAGTATATGGCCTTACAAATTGCACGATTGTCCTGCATTCCTATCTTCAAGTACGTTTCTCACGTAACTCCCTTTCCAAATTCTTGACACTGTTTATCATATACATACTATCTATTCGTATCACTTTGCCTGTTAGGCATTTTTAATTCTTTATTCTAGGAACTGACGCGACAGAAGCTTATATATTTTATCTAATTTGCACTGAGTAGTGATGCATTTGTGTGTTTTAACTTACAGTACATCCTTCACAAAAGATGGAAGAGAAGAGAGAGCTGATATTGAGCAGTGTGCCTCATGAAAAGTTTGGATGTAGAAGTTCTCACATTTCTCAGACTGGAGAAAACAAAGATGTTGCAGCTCACAGCTTCAGCTTCGACAACAGAGTGGGGACCACGCGTGGTGGAACTGTCATTCGCAAAACTAAATCCTTGAATGCTCAATTCTTGGTCAACATTGACGGTCTAATCAATAATGTTGCAGGAAGGTTTCATGAGATGGATTCCAACGATAAATGTTCCTCTAGCAAGGAATTAAGATATTCCCTTTCATTCACTGCACCCACCTCATTCTCACAGGAACTGCCAAGCACCGAATGCAGTAAGAAACAGTTATTTAGCACCACTAATCTCCAAAATAATTAACATTAAGAGCTCATAGATCCAATATGCAAATATTAAACTTCTAGTTGGGTGAGAATCATCATACATGACCTGTTCTTGATTTCTTCTGCTTTTCAGATGATGTTGCATCTGATGTTTCTGCGGAAAAGGAATTAGATTCATGCAGGTGGACGAGGATGCACGTGGAACCTACCTTGCCAATACATCTGAAAGTAATAAATTTTATAAATAAGTTTATTATCTACTCTTACCTTGCATCCTATATACGTGTAATTTATATTGATTCCATTGTCTTGCAGTTTGAAGATGTGAGATACAAGGTTCCAGAGAAAGGTGAGAAGTCTTCTGGAGAAGGAAAGTACATTCTGCATGGGATCACTGGTTCGGTACGCCCAGGAGAGATTCTTGCTTTAATGGGGCCATCTGGAGGTGGTAAAACAACATTACTCAATATCTTGAGCGGCAGGACCAAGTTTAACGGCGGGTCTATCACTTACAATGACGAACCATATACCAAGTCATTAAAGCAGAGGTATAATTAACGAAGGCAGGTTCATTTAAAATCATAACTTAAAAATTCAAAATGCTGTTTATGGCCATTACATTACATATTGTGTATTTTTACACAGGATTGGATATGTAACACAAGATGATGTTGTGTTCCCTCATCTTACAGTCAAGGAAACTCTCACATATGTAGCTTTGCTCCGTCTCTCGAAGGATCTATCAATGACACAGAAAAAAGAGAGGGTTATGAATGTTTTAAGTGAACTATGCCTCGAAAGGTGTTATCTTTTTCCCCTTTTACTCAGAGTCTTAGATTACTATACGCTTCGCATAAGATGGGCGTTAAATATGCTATTTCAGATGCCAAGACACAGCAATTGGCGGCAAATTTATCAGAGGGGTTTCTGGTGGTGAGAGGAAAAGGGTCTGTATTGGCACAGAAATCCTGCTCAACCCATCACTTCTGTTCTTGGATGAACCAACATCTGGTCTAGATTCAACCACAGCATCACGAATTGTTCAGATTCTTCAAAACATTGCAAAAGTAATTCTCGTCCTTCATCCATTCTTTCTTTTCTTAGTGGAATCAGATGTAACAGTGATCTTCTTTCTTGATTTTGTTTCGGTAGGAGGGAAAGACAGTATTGACAACAATACACCAGCCGTCAAGTAAGCTGTTCAGCATGTTTGACAAATTGATTCTGTTGGGAAAAGGGAGCACCTTGTACTTTGGAAAAGCATCTGATGCAATGATGTATTTCTCCTCTATTGGTTGCTCTCCATTGATAGCCATGAACCCTGCGGAGTTCCTCATTGACCTTGCAAATGGCAACATAATTGACAAATCTGTCCCTTCAGAACTTGAGGATAAGTTCCATTATGGAATCAAAAAACTCAACATAAAAAACAACACACCCTCCCCAGTTGATGTACACGAGGTCAACCACGTCACTGAAGTATTCAGTTTTCCTATGGATCAAATCAAATCAATACTGTACAACAACATACTAAAATATGACTTGTTCGTCCTGCAGTTTCTTGTTAAGGCCTATGAAATAAGGCTTGCGAAAAGTGACAAAGCAATGCTTCTCGAACCTGTAACAAGAAGGGGAGATCAGAGTGGGATGCAAGGCAGGCCATTCCTGAGGGACTTTGGAGCAACTTGGTCTCAACAATTTTGCATTCTCTTCATGAGGGGCATTAGGGAGAGGCGTCATGAGTATTTCAGCTGTCTGCGTGTAACCCAAGTAATATCAACTGCAATTATTGTTGGACTACTTTGGTGGAACTCTGATGCTTCTTCTCACAAGAGTCTCCATGATCAGGCAAGCTCTAATTATTTTCTTGAATCATCACAACATAACTTCTCCTAAGTATGCTTATTTACCCGTCATGCAGGCAGGGCTACTGTTCTTCCTTTCTGTGTTCTGGGGCTTCTATCCGCTATTTAGTGCCATCTTCATGTTCCCACAAGAAAGAGCAATGCTAGTGAAAGAGAGATCGATTGACATGTATAAACTCAGTGCTTACTTCTTAGCTAAGAACACCAGTGATGTTCCAATGGAGCTTCTAATGCCTCCAGTGTTCTTAGTGATTGTGTATTTCATGGTTGGCTTGAAGCTACAATTTTCTGCATTTTCCCTCACCATCCTCACAATTTTTCTGAGTGTTCTGGCAGCTCAGGTAATTTTTTTTTAACCATATGCATGTTAATTACCCCCTTGTGAAGTATAATTTAGAGATGGTCCCAAAGCATTTTGTGCACAATAAGTGCAGGGTCTGGGACAAGCCATAAGTGCAGCATTTCTAGATGTGAAGAAAGCTACAACACTGGCCTCAATCGTTGTCATGACCTTCATGCTAACCGGTGGATTCTTTAGCCAAGTAAGACATTATGTGTCTGTTCTCTAGTAATATCCCCTCAAATCTACATGACCATCTTAAATATGCCTCCTCAACTCAGTTAATTCAATATGGAAAGCAAAAGTTCAAGAAAATGATGAGCTGGCTTTTTGGAAAATCTCTAATAAGAATACAAGAATGTTAGTCATTGATTATTTTAATATAGGGGTCATAGTAATTCCCGTTTATATATTTGTGATTGCAGCAAGTCCCAAGGTTTATGTCATGGGTACGCTACGTCTCTTTCAACTACCACACTTACAGGTTGCTTTTGAAAATTCAATATGGATGTGTGGTTTCAACTTCTGCATCAGGTTGCAGTGAGTCTCCTTTAGATAAAAAGAGGGAGACTATACTCGGGAGAGGACTGGAAGTTGGTGCTATGATAATAATGATAATTATTTATCGGCTTATAGCGTATTTATTTCTAAGGAGAATGAATATAAGGACTAAATGAAGCCAATTTTCGGACTTTAAGGTCTCATTTGATGCGAAGCATTAACAATGAGGGATAGAGACTAGAATATCAATTGAAAAAAAATCATTAAAAAAGTCTTTAGCATGAGTAATTACTTATTATATTGGATTAGGCGAACTTATGGAAGTAAGATTAGAGAATACTACTTCCTCCTATGATATTCCCCAATCCCACATACATGGGTTTATCTAATCCCATGTAATAAGAAATCTCTCATACTAAATACTATTTTCTCAATCTCAATCCTATTATTATCCCTCATTTTCAATATTTCGCAGCAAATGGAACCTAAATATATTCAGCGTTGGGCCAACTTCACATGGCATATCTGGAGCTTTTAAAATGAGGTGGACTTAATGATTCGAACGTGACCGACTTCTATCTCTCCACGCTTTAGGTTTTCAGGCTCATTTATTAAATTGTTGGTTGACTTGTACTCGATGATTGAATGAGGACTTTTTAATGATATGTATTAAATATTATCAGTTCAAACTGTGTTTGTCAAATGACAGAGTGCGTGTTTTATTTATTAAAAAAAAAAGTTTTCCAAATTTATTGCTCTCTAAGGATATCTTAATATTATAACTTTAAAATATGCCAAAATTATTAAGAAATTTAGTTCAAGTGGAAGGGACTTAATTCCTCAAGTAAAATTGAGGATTCCTTGTTACTACCACCAAATGAGTATGATAATATTTAAATTTGATGTTATATAACTAAATACCATGTAATTTATAAAAAATAATTATAATATAATGCAAATTGGTAGATATCAGAATGGCTTATCAACTTCCAAAAATATTTCTTGAAAAACATTGCTGATGAGAAGTTATTCTCTATTATCAATATTTTCCTGTGCTAAACCCCAAACGTTCTGATCATATCAGTTTAAATGCTTTCAGATTTGTGTTGAGAATAGAAAGAGGTTAAGAGTGAGAGCGAAGTATGAAACAGAAATGACTCCTTGTTTAAATGAAGCTGAATTACGATACTTCGTTACAATCTCAGAAACGGACAGTTTTGGAGTCAGAGGTTTCTGAAGAGAGGTTTAAATCAGAGACGATGAACTTGATATTTAAAAAAGAAAACATTGAGTAAAAAATGAATTCATTACTCAGAAGGAATTACAAAAGGGCAGCACTTGGTTTAGAATAAACTAATACCAGGCTGCAGAAACAGCTCTACAAAAGGAGAAACAAGTCAGCAAAGGTTAGAAGTCAAGTCTTTGATGAACCTGAGAATTATTTATCCCAAGGTCATGCAAGAATGGCTGACAAATAGTTAAACAAAAAACTTCAAAATACTTTCATACCATTTCTGGAAAAAAAATTAGGAGGAATCAAAATACAATATGCAGAAACAAACATCCAATGTTAAGCCAAACCCATGATCTTTATACCAAACAACACAAGCTGCTGACAAATTCTTCCAAGGTCATAAGAAGGATCATGATACTCAAGATAACAGTTAAAGCAGGGACTATTGGCTAATTTGAACACCATTATCATATATTCTCATTCAGAAGTGCTGAATAAACCTTTTACTGAGCTTGAAATAGAAAGTGGAAACTGATTGGTTTCAAGTTGTTCCTGATAAGGCCCCAGGTTATGATGATTTACTAGTTATATTGTTCTATCAATATGCAAGATTTTATCAACCTGCTTTCCTTAGAAACAGGGGATATTTCTCGAAGGAGCTTAATCAACCTTCTGTTTTCTTGATTCCTATTCAGTGAAAGAAAAAAAGCAGTCCTATGAACAGGGATTTGTGTTCAGAAAGAGGAGTTGCGAGCGATGCGCATGGACGCCGCCGGTCAATCTCATCCTTGTATAGTCAGACTCAGGGCATATATTTTCAACAATGATGAACTAACTTCGTACACGATCCAACGCTTGGGCCTTATACACAGTAATAACATCTTAGTTGATACTTGTTTTGTTGAACATCAAAGAGGAACAAAACAAGCATGTGTTAGAAAATGTGAGAAGTATAATAAACAGTGTTGAAAAAGTGTGCGGCTAAAATATGAAATAATGTTGGAAGATTATTGATTGGTTTAATTTTGTGTAAGTTGATACGTATGTATCTACATGAGTATCAAGTATGACTTTCTTTTATTTTGTTTTGGCCCAAAGTAGTCTTCTACGAGTCAAGTCCCCTGCCATGAGTTTTAAGTTCCAAAGTCATTGAGGTTTAACTCAAAATTTTATTTTCAATACCTTTTTTTTCAAAGAAAAAAGAGAGAGATGAGTCTAGATGAGTTGATTCTTAGTAGTTCATCATCTCAGAAAGCATACCTATAAAGGAACTAATATATTCCTCCGATCTTTAATATAGGACCTAATTGTTGAGTTGATTTTGGTCCTAGATATAAGATTTATTTATCGTATTTATCAATTTTACTAAATTAGCCCTGTGGATACTTCCTCAACCATAATTAAGTAGAAAAAGGAGAAAAGATATTAAAGAATATGATTATGATAATTTAGGAAAAATATATCATATTTCTTATAATTAACTAACTTATTTAACTTTCTTTATCTAATCAAATTAGTTAAAAAGATCTTATATTAAGGATCAGAAAAGTATTACTCCTCCGATCCTTAATATAAGACCCATTTAACTAATTTAATTAGATTAAGGAAGTTAGGTAAGTTAGTTAATTATAAGAAAAGCGACATATTTTTCCTAAAACACCATAATCATCTTTTTTAATACTCCATCTCCTCTTCTATTTGATTATGGTTGAGGGAGTATCAATAGGGGTAATTTAGAGAAAATTGATAAATATGAGAAATGAATCTTATATTTATGATCAAAACTAACTCAAGAATTGGGTTCTATATTAAGAACCGGAAGAGTATTTACTTATAGGCCTCTGTAAATAATGAGATTCACAACCAAATACTTGAGGCTCGTACTTAAGTCGTAATGGCGTGTCCGCGTGTGGCTAGCATCTTAAAAATTTCAAGTCGGCACGATATTTTAATCTCAATTCCCTTATTAAACTCAACCAAGACCACGAAGCACAGTTCCGTGTTTTCTAGCACTGATTTCTTTTTTTTGGGCCAAAACACTGATTTCATCATGGCTTAAAAAATTGGAGAAGAAAAGTTTTAAAATTTTAATAAAGAGAATAAGTAATATAAAAAATAATAATAATTAATTAAAAACTTTTAACACCATTTTTTTATTTTTTAAATCAAGTTTATTAAAAAAATTTCTCTCCTCCCCTTCTCTCATTTTTGGACCCTTACACATCTATTTAGATCCATATTAATGTTTAAGGTGTACGACGTTAGTTTATGTTTTCAGACTTGTTTTTGGACGTCTAAACAGAGACAAACACAACTTGTGCCCCGTAAATGTAGGTTTCTTTGATTAGAAATGATAAGTTACCCTTTTGTTAACCACAACCACAAATGATCTATGACTTATATAACCAAATTAACGCCTAAGATAAAAAAATGTTATAGAAATACTCCTCCGGTCCTTAATATAGGACCCAATTAGTGAGTTGGTTTTTGTTCTAAATATAAGATCCATTTCTCATATTTATCAATTTTCTCTAAATTACCCTTATAGATATTCCCTCAACTATAATCAAGTAGAAAAGAGAGGGAGTATTAAGAAAGATGATTATGGTATTTTAGGAAAAATGTGTCACTTTTCTTATAATTAACTAACTTACCTAACTTTCTTAATCTAATCAAATTAGTTAAATGGGTCTTATATTAAGGACAGAAGGAATATTTTAATATAGTATATATTTAAATTTTAAAAATACTAGTTTTTTTTTTTTTTGGGTAGAGGTAATGTACCTTCACGTTTTGTTTTTGGGGCTGTAAATTTGTCTTCACACTCTCTTCTTGGGCTTTATGGGCCCATTCTCCTAAACTTCCATTTATTTCAAGTGAATGGGCCTTGAGGCCCTCTTAAAAGGACTAGGAGATTTCCCAAATAACTCATATTTAGTGTTTCATAGTATCTCAAATAGTATTATCTCTAATAGAAAGATACCTATGCTTTAATTAAAAAATAAATAAACTTCCCACTCTTGTAACAAAAAAAAAAGATTAATATAAACTTTAGTCTCTCAAGTTTATCTTCATTTTAATTTTGATTTCTGAAGTTTCAAACTATAGGTTTTGCTCCATCAAGTTTTAAACTTAGACCATTTTTACCCTTGAAAGATCAAAACCAAAATGATAATAAATTTAAATGACCAAAAATTATATTAACGTGAAAAAAAAATCACAAACTTCTTGCTGTTACCGGAGTTCGTGAATTCAATCACACTTTAGTCCTGCCTCCAAATAGTTAAAGTCTAAAAAAAATCTTATCAATGCCAATGCTATTTTTTCTCATGTCTAAGCTTATAAGTAGTCACATTTAGTGTCCGATAATATTTAGAATAAGATTACTTCTAATAAATATATATGTTTATTTTATAAAAAAAAATATTTCAATACTGTTTTGGATTTTTGCAAGACTAACATAACATTATTGGCTTGTTCAGCTTTTGTTTCAATATTTAGACAAATAGTTGGTTTTTCTTTTGTAAAATTTAGTTTTAATAAATTGACAATGAGATTTCAGCTAAAAAATAAATGGACAATAAGATGGAGCCCAAAAAGAAATTGACAGTAAGATTTTTTTTTCAAAATATTCTTAACGCAGTGATTAATTTTTTAAAACTAGTTGATGAAAAATAGACTTATTTAACATACATGTGTGATATATAAATAGAGTTGGGATTAAAAAAGCCATATGAGTGAGTAGACAAAAATTCTTTGTCTTCAGATTTTAAATTAAGATAAAGTGTTAAACCCACCACCACTTATTTTGTTGCTACATCCCTTTGCCCTCAATCGCATTGCCCAACCAAGTGATATAAACACATCTGCCATATACATATATATATATGTATATTAATTATCTTGATGGTTTGGAAGCTAATTAAAGTAGTGGTGAACACAGAATAGTAAAATTTTCTATATCGTTATCATACAAGTACAATTTATAGAGCATCATACAAGAAAGATATAAACTGGGCTTAATTAGATAAGAAAAAAAGGAAAGAGGGAGAGAAGGAATGATAGGAGGCGTGGGAGAGACGGATCCTGGACAACAACAGGATGGCATCGGCACCCACCCACAGTGAAAGCAACGTTAACCTCCCCACGTGCCTCCATTGTTATTTTCCGGCGTCTCTTTCCCATATCTATTTATGTGCCTGTGTGTGCTTATATATACATATACATATATATACACCCACACACACACACACACATACATTCCTCTGCCGACGCCATACACAACTAATGCATCATCACCTGCTTTTTAATTTTAACTAACTTTTTCCTCCACCAAACCCCATAATTGAGACGGTAATTAGTTATTTACATGAGGAGACAGGCCAGGTGGCATGGGCAGTCATGGGTGAGGGGTAAGTGAAGAATTACGGTTAAGGAATGGAAGGAAGGAGTAGGAGGCAGGCATGCATGAATGGGGATATTATAGTATATGTTGATCTGGGGACGAGGTATTTACTATAATACTACTACTCAATTAATTAATTAATTTGGAGGGACGAATTATAGGGTCAAACTTGGATTTAGGATTAAGGAACATATGCCACGTACCTCTCTGGGGCACGTGCTCCATCATTCCCATGCCCCCTCCCGCACGTTATCTCCTTCTCTCTTGCTACAGCTCCCTCCTAGCTCTTTTATTTGTTGCGTGCACCGTATTTGGGCACCTCATTAATTGCTCATCACTCTGTGATCCCCCCACGTACTTCTTGCATGCCATCCGGGCCGGGTCATCCCCCCACATGAGACCCACTTTGACTCCCTCCTTACACCAATCCCCACATGCCACGTCCTGCTACTCACACGCCCCCCGCCCCCTATTGCCTATTATATTATATTCCTTAGAAGAAAACTCTCCACCTTTTTATTAATTAATTACTCATTATGAGTTTGTGAGTCTCAATTTTATTAGTTCAATGATATAATAGAATATATGGACCCTCCAATCCAGTCCAACCCACCCGTTACTTGCTTCGGACGGTACCGCCCACGTTCTTCTCTACTCTCTACACCTTTAACTCCCCTCCCCTCCCCTCCCGTCTCCTCTGCCCCTCTCTGCCATCCACCAACACACATACATGCTCTCTGGCTCTCACTCCTACGAACCCTTCTTCCTTAATTATTACATCTTCCTCCTTCCACCTCCATATTAATTCTCTCTGCTGCTTCACATCCCTTTTGATATGTACGATGTTGGGTTGTGATCAATTCTGTGCTGCGTCTGATGCCAGTCCTAAGCCATTCCCCTGGTGGAAGCCCCACCACGTGGAGCCGCCTCCCCCTTGCCCTCGCTGTGCTTCTTCCAATACCAAATTCTGTTACTACAACAACTACAGCTTGTCCCAGCCCAGGTACCTGTGTAAATCTTGCCGTCGCTACTGGACCAAAGGCGGCTTCCTCCGCAACGTCCCCGTCCGCGGTGGTACCCGCAAGTCCCGCCGTACTAAGACCCCCAAGCTCCCGCAAAACCAGCGTCTTTCCGCCAACCATAATCCTCATAACTCCGGCAAAGACTCGGACGCTGACACATCCCGATCCAACGGGTCCGATATTGACATGGCCCTGGTCTTCGCTAATTACTTGACCTCAGGTAATGGTTCCAGTACGGAGAACGATGCGACTCAGGCATCCGATCCGGTCACGGACGTGGTGGTAGAGGGAGAGGGGCCTCTTCCTCCAGACGAGTCGGTGATGAGGGGAATTGAGCTGGAGTGGGAGAGCTTGTTAGGTGGTGGTGACGGAGAAGTGGTCCAAGATGCTTTCTGCTTGTCTGATGCGACCACGTCGTCCTCCTCGTCAGTCACATGGCAACCATCGCTGATGCAGTTCCAAGACGAGTTGGAGAATCCCATCCCCAACTTCAATTATGATGAGGTTGCTCAGTTGCCTATCGCCGATTCCTGGAATTGGAATTCCTTCGATTTTCCTGCTTTGCAGGTCTTCTCATCAAGGCCTCTTGATTCATAATTAGCTCCTATATATATTATATATTAGTCCAATACTTCTTTTCTTCTTCCTTTTACTTCAAAGAAAGAAAAAATAAAATAAAATGCTTACAGATATATACATGCTGTGGATGGAAAATCAATAGTATGTGTTGTAGATCTTCTGTTAAAATAAACATTGAACGAAAGTAGAAATAAAGCTGTGCTTCAGTGGTTTATATGCCAACTTCTTGGAAATGTGCGTTCAAAGATGACATACAGACAGATCTTTCTCGTATCATTTTTACATGTATGGTACGCATAATTAGGCTGGGTAGCTATCAAGTACTGGAGACAAAAGATCGACCATAGATTTCATTATTTAGCACGATCGAGGTCAAGTAAAAGCATAATTATGGGGATAGAATGACTTAATTAATCATTTAACTCCAGAGATCCAACAAGTACAAAGCATCCAATTAATATTTATATTTCGGCAAATGTACTGAGCCAGACGCTAGGAAGGCCTATAGTGAACATATAATGCACTGTTTTCTCTATAATTATCTTAAAAACGAGTATTCTATGCCTTGAAACAAACGGGTTCAGACGAGAATGTCATTAAGTTAACAGTAGGAAAATTGGATATTTATATAGGTGGCAGCTGGGGGGAAGTGATGCATGAGTTGGACAAAAGCAGTTACGGAGAGGGTGACGCGCTGGGAAAGTTGGATGGTTATGGGAAACAGTTGCGGGCAAAGACTTGTAAAATAAAAATAAAGAATGTTTCTGTTATCGAGGACACACACACATATATATGTATATAGATATAGATATAGACACACACACACGAAGATTTCAGCTTCTTATATACTTACTAATTATAAGAACTCATTTATAAATTACAAACGAAATCTTATAATTAGAATTAGAGCACGTAGTATAGGTCTTAGCGTCCGTGTGTGTGCTGATTTAGGAGTGGACTCAACTCACTCGTTGATGTCTGTATAGGCATGTCACATCGTTGCCACGAGACGTTGCTATATTCATCATCTAACTGTTTTGGGATTTCCTTCTCAGATACCCATTTTAATCAAACAAATCCAACACGTATCCTGCCACTATCCATTTATAGGTTTTGTTACGCGATGCTTTCAACTAGTGCATCATAAGCCCAATAACTCGAAAGGAATCGATAAGGATTATATGGGCTGGCTTGGCTGTAAGCACCTGTTGTTGACCTTATGTTCTTTTCAAACAAGGGTTGGGCCCATATTATGTATATCTTCAGCGTAAGTCTGATGGTGCTTGGTACGGTCTTGGATTCCGGAACAAAAACCTAAGTGATCAGAAAAGTTGCAGCCGTAGAAGGCTTACTGATACCTCACTGTATGTCCGTCCCTTTAAAGTTACGTTGTTTGGGCACAAAATATAAGGCAAACAGGTTGCTCCAGTTTTTTCAATTCTTTGAGATCATATGTGATACTTGTGCGCTGATTCAGAGCCTCTGCTATGATATTTGATTATGATTTTATCAAGTTAATTCCTTTTGCGTGCAAGTACATATCTTTTTCCCTTTGAGTTCCGCATATTTCTCGGCAATCCATATATATATAATTTGTGACAGGACTGGAAAATAATATAATGTTTTGAAACTGTGGAAGCGACAAGAACCGGACCCCTCAATTAAGTCGCTGGAATGTGTTGCTTACAACCCCCCAAGACTCTAATTGTTGGTATTATTGCTCAGCCCAAGCCATTATTATATTGCTCGCTAGCTCCTCTCTTCCTACCTCCAAATGTTACAGACAAAACCTCTTTCTGTCATCAGTCATAAATCACAAATCACCTCACCCGTAAACACGCCTTGCGAGACTTGATCTATATATCATCTCCGTGCATTTCCTTTAAATAAACTCTTTCTTTTATTGACAACGTAAAAATAGGAAAGAAAAGTTGCCAGAGAAATGCCAGAATGTGGTCCATATATGAATAAATAACACCGCCTAGAGGAGGATATAAGGTTAAATAGTGAATATATATCTGCATTATTGATGAGACACGCGAGAGATACAAAGTAATGTAAATTTCAATGTGTCAAATGTCAGCTTATAGGTCTAGTCATGATACCAAGGAGCATTATTGGCAGTATTGTTAAAGACAGAGAGAAGTTAATCATGGTGATGTGAAGGCATGGGCTGTTTTTTTTTTTTTGGGCGGTTAGGAATTCTGATATGTCAATCTCCGCAGCAACGTTGGGGCTGTGACGACGATGGCGATGGCGGCTCTCCTCCTAAGCTTTAAAGGACAGAGGAAGGTTTGTAAGTCTCTGCAGGCACTTTAATGGCCGAGTCAGTGAGTGAGACGGAGGGAGGGAGAGGTCCTCTGTTTAACACACATAGATACAGGTTCAACCGCTGTTTCCGATCGGTTCAACTGCACCCTGCTCTAATAAACGGCCCAGTTTCATACTCAGAAGAACTACGTTTGCTGTTGATGCGTTTTCAACTGATCATATTAAATCAGAAAGTGCAGTTGAATCGGAAACCAAACCCGGTTTTCAGATTCCCTGAAGAAGTTGTTGTTATGTGAATTTATTATTACCCACCGTGAAATTGAACTTTTTAAGTGTGTGTGTGTATAGTTTTATGTTATATAATATTCTGTGTTTTATTTCCTTATAAATATACCACCTCCTATCTTTACTACAAGAGCTAGTTTAATTTTTATTTTTATTCTAAATATAAAATCCTAATCCATATTGTCCATCATATTTATCTATTTTTTAAGGTAGTCTTTGTAGTAGTTGCACATTTTAAAAGTTTCATCAAATGATGGTTATGTCTAATACATTTGATGATGGTTATGTCTAATACATTTGATTAGTAATAGTATTTTAAGAAAAACAACACTTATTTATTACAAATAACTAACTTTACTAATTTTATTAATATATTTAAATTAGTCAACTAACTTTTATATTAAAGATTGGAGATAGTATTATATTATTATATCATCGATTTAATTGTTAATTGTGTAACACCTCACATAATTATTTTCATATACATGATGAAATACTTTATTTAAAAGTCCATATGTTACTAACACTCCAAACAAGTCATGATTTTAAAACATTTTTTCTCATGACATAACAAAGTAAAATAAACTATTTAAGTCTTATAATCATGACAAATAAAAATATAACCAAAACACGTGCTTGAGAAGTATAGAGGCCTTTACGACTCATTCCATTAGTGCCTTCCCTTGATTCCTACTAGATCATTAGCCTAACAATTGTTAATATAGAGGATGAAACCAAACATCTCAGTAACTATTAAAATTCTAATCTATACAAGCAAACCATATATGATAAATAAAAATCTGTTTATATGTGCGTGTAAAAACCACGGATTTGATACATTCAACTTAATTTCATTTTTATTCAACAATATACCAATATCATTTTCCCAATATATTAAAAAATAATGCAATATGATGTCTCCCCTTATATCACTGTCCATCTTTATACCGCTGACTAGAGCCATAGGCTAACATATATATAGTCCTATAGGAACTAATCTATTTTAGTGAATTATTCCAGGCTCACTGATACTAGAGATATATCCAGCCAAAGATATAGAGTTCAAGCTCGGACCATGGCTCCTCTCCTTTGCAATAAAATAAGGAGATGTCACATGTCCCATAGCTTCAATAAATTCCCAGCCAAAAGAAAACATGAAAAAGGGGCTCTGACAGGTGCCATCCACTGTGTACCGAGTGATGACATACCATGTGGTAATTTATATCCATGCACATCTCCTTCTATCCCTAGCCTAACAATGCATGTGTCATATGGAAATAATATTGCATCATAAATACATTCTCAAATATATTATTAAAAATAAGATAGGAATAAAATTTCTGTACCATTTAACAGCATCTCATGATAATTCCATAGATATCAATATATAGTGATCATAATTAATAGCAATAAATCTGAACAAAATCAAGTAACATATCAAAACATTTATTTGAAAAATCATAATATTATATTTCAATATAATATAAAAATTACTAAATCCATAATATAATCATATACAGTTCATATATACATGAAAAAATTTTTAGAGTTACCTGATACTCTTTAGCTTACAAATATTCACACAAAGATTACTCCAAAATTCTCAAAAGTCTACAAAATTGCACATAAACATCTATTAATATAAAACTCAAAACTACTCTAAAATTTTAAGACTACCCTCTAAACCAAAATTTACATAAACTCCCAAATCTAGCTATTTATAATAGATATAATATTTTAAAAATATAATCTACATATAAGACTATTTAAATTTAATAACTTAAATAAATATATATTTATTACCCAAAATATAAATATTTTATGTTAAAATTCTCAATTATTTATTATAGTCTCATTTAAATTTTTTTCTCAAACCAAGCAATTCTTTTGAATTATAAATAAACTGTAACTTTATTTAGTTTCATAAATTCTTAATTTAGAATTTTTCAAACCTGAAAAAATTATTTGAAAAATATATTTTTAACCTATTCAATATTCAAACCGATTAAAATCTCAATAATATATTTAATAACCTAAATAAATTATTTAACTTAAATTTAATTAGTAAAAATACTCTATATCTTTGAATAACAAATTTTTTCAACTAAAATCTTAGTTTAAAATCATCAAAACAATCATTAAACAAATATAAACTAATTAAATTTTTTTAATAATATATCTTTAAATTTCTACAATCATATATTGTCAAAACTCTATATTTACTCTATACCCAAATAGTAAAATTTTCTCTAAACATTATAATGATACTAATAATATGAAACTATAAATATATAAGAAATATTTATAAAAAAATTTGACAAAAATAGTTTTGTGTATATAATCCCCAAATCTTATCTTATTTTTCATTTTTCAGACAGCACCTAACTACTTTCCCTCTTTCTCGATTTTTCTCACTGCTTCTTGCTCTCTCCTTCTCTTCTCCCGCTCTCTCATTCTCTTCCGTCTTCCCGGCTTCTTTTATCTTGTTTTTCCTCATCCTCCAATCACCACCCGCTCTCCATCTTTTCCTTCTTCATTTACTACTCCTCCCCTTTCCAACTTTCATTTACTACACCTCATTCTATTTCTGCTTAGGCCGCCCCTCCCTCCTTTTTTTTCCCTATATATGTTCATTAATAACCCCCCTTCCTGGAAAAAGGTGAGGTGGTGTTTTTATTTTGTACTTTTTTTAAAAAAAAAACAGTATGTTACAAGTTGCACCGTGTAAACCATTGAAGATTGAACATGATAGTATTATATAATACTCCTTCGCTCCTTAATATACAAGACTTAGTTAGAGAATCAATATTGATCCTAAATATAAGATATAGATATTGGTTCTAAATGTAAAACCTAGATATTAGTCTTAAATATAAAACTTATTTTATATGTTTATCAATTTTTTTACAAATTAACCCTATTAATATCTTCTCAATAATAATCAAGTAAGAGAGGAACGGTGAGAATTAGGAAGATGTTTAGAGTATTTTAGAAAAAAAAATCATATTAACTAATTTAACTAACATATTTAGTATACTCAAATTACTTAATTAGATTTTACATTAACTTTATGTTTGGTACGAGTATGAGGGAAATGAAAGAGAAGGGAGGGGAAATTTTTTTAATAAGTTTGATTTAAAAAATTAAGATAAAAGAGTAATAAAAATTAATCAAAACTTTTTAACCCTCTGTCTTCAATTTTTTAAAATGAGCTATTGAGCTATTGCAATTTTTCCGTTCCCCTTCTCCCTTTCATTTCGTTCATACCAAATGGACCATAAGAATAAGAGGAATAGTTTAAAGCCTGTTTATTTTTATTTTTTGTTTTCTTGTTCTCAAAACAATTTTATAAAATTTTTAATAAGTTTTGAAAACAAAAAAAAAGAATTTATTTGGATAATAATTAAAAAAATCATGTTTAAAAAAAATCACACTTGGCAAGTGATAGTTGTTGTTGATAGTGATAAGTAGTGGATAGTAGATAAAAAGAAAAGAAGATTTCTCAAAAAAATTTTAAACAAAATATAAAACATGTAAAAGTTGTGTAAGTTTTTAAAAACATGTTACCTTTTTTTGTTTTTCAAAACAATCAACTAAAAAAAATTATTAGATAATTTTTTTTCTGTTTTTACAAATAAAAAATTATTTTTAAAACAAAAAAACTAAACAAGTGCTTAATCTCCTGTTTGGTATTTGAGACATTGATCAGTGGAGAGGCATATCAACAAAAGGACGCTTTATCTTTTGGCAAGAATAATTGGAGATAGAAGATGAGAACGTGAAGAACATGGGAACCTTACATAATGGGTTTGCATGTGAAGTCCATAAATCCGGAAATAAAATCTCATGAGGAAAGAAAAAAAAATAGTGCTGACTGAGAATATGTACGTGTGCCTTCTTCGTTCATTTTTATTTATTCTCTCCGTTTACTTTGTCTTTTGGGTCGAAATTCTCTCCGTTTAGTTGATCTCTTTCTCTCCACGCTCTTCAACTTCGTTATTTAAACCATGCAAATTAAATCCCATCCCTCGCTGCAATTATGTTTCAGTATCTTATTGTGGGCCTAGCATGGTTTGGTGATGTTTGATAGTTTATGTCTCAAATGCCAAATTTGGTAGAGACACTATTGAAATTCCAGTAATCTTTTGAGGTTTAGACATAATTAAAAAAAAATCTGTGAAGAATAATCTTTTTATTTTCTCTCTTGTTAAAATATTAAAAACATTTTATATAAATTAAAATATGCATACGTACAGTCATAAATACATACTAAGCTTTAACTTTATCACTACATGAGATCCTTAAATTTGACGTGTCCATGTCAAAATTTATTATAAATATTACAGCCGTAAGTCGAAAAGGCTAATAAGACGTACTGTCTCGATACTAATTATAAGATATCGTTTCTAGTCTATAAACGAAGTCTTATAATTAAGACATGAGATAATATAATATAAATTAATTTATATCCATAGCGTTAAACGTAATTATTTAATACTACTTTTGGTCTTTAATATAAAAACTAGTTGACTAATTTGATTAGATTAAGAAAATTAGTTAAGTTAGTTATCTGTAATAAATAAAAGTTTTCTTTCCTAAAATGTTCTTATTAATTAAATATATTAGTTAGAACTATTATTACTACACAGATTATTTTAACAAAAATAAATAAATATTAAGATAAAATAGACTAATGATTTTATATTTAAGATAAAAATAAAAATCAAATAAATTTTTATATTAAATATGAGAAGGAGGTAGGCTATATTCTATACTACGCTCACTGTTATTACGTCATCTGTTTTTTTCTTTTTTTTTTTACCAGCATACATCATTTGTTATTGAAACGAATCTTTTATGCAGGAGAAAATAACTACTACAATAATGATGAAAATTTTGTGGTCCATTAAAAAGGATACCAAAAATCGATAAAGTAAGTAATGATGATCACATCTAGGAGTGTTCACGGGACGGATCGGGACCGGGACAGGCCCGTCCCGGTTCCGTCCCGATGAACAGTAACGGGACAGATTTTCTGTCCCGTGTCCCGGCCCGTTCCGGGGTTGTCCCGGTCCCGGTCGGGACGGGACGGATCCGGGACGGGACCGGGACGTCCCGAAATAATTTTTTTATTTTTTTTATTTTTTTATTTTTTTTTAATTTTTTTAATTTTTTTTTAAAAAATTTAATTTTTTAATTATATTTTTTTGAGCTTAAATCTTATAAAAACATCTTTTTTATTTGTTTGGGCACTCTTAAACAAAAGCTCAAAATATTACATATAATAGTTATTAAAAACTCTAAACAAAAGCTTTTAACACAATAAAAACTTGCTAAAAATTCTAATCATCAATAATCTTAAATCATTAACAAATATAAAAACTCTAAATAAATATATCCATAGTTCCATACAATAGTTTCAAATCTTAAAAAAATATGAAAAAATAATATTATATAAAAAATTAAAAAATTAAAATTTTTTTTTTAAAAAATGGAACCGGGACGGGACGGGACGACCCCGTCCCGTGTCCCGTCCCGTCCCGGTCCCTTTTTTGTCCCGTCCCGGTTTGTCCCGTCTCGAAAAATTTCGGGACGGATCCGTCCCGTCCCAATAAGACCGGGACCGGAACGGGCCGACCGGGACGGGCCGGCCTTGAACACCCCTACACATCATATGCCTAAAACAACAATATTTAATATTAATAATAATTAAAATTCATGAAAGATGAGGACTTAACATGTGCCTGCCTAGTGGTCTATGCTGGCCAATCCCACTTTTCCCCCTCAGCCATAATTCAGCTCTGGAGAACCCAGTGGACCCTTCCATTCCATGGTAAGCCAAAAGATCGATGGTTCCATTTCTCTTGCTTTGCCTTTCTCAACCAATCGCTCTGTTCTGTACCACCATTTGTGTCCTCCTCTCCATCGTCCCAATGCCTAAACATAACCCTAATAATAACATCTCAGTTGTATTTCTCAGTATAATGGGAAACCTAACATTCCCTGATAGAGTACATACCAGTCCGTGCGTAGTACTATCAATATGGACAAGGACTCATATTTGAATAATTTCTTACCATACTGTAACAAGGATGATGATTCCTTCTGCGTACAGTATAACAGCGTAACTTGCCACCTTATTTTGTCGCTTCGTCTAGACAAAGGGAGATAGAAAGAGTCAATCTTGGAAGGGAAAGGTTGAAGGAGCAATTGGAGAAGCTAGTGTGTAACCTCTTGTTGTGGTTGGGGAATGATTTGCCCCCACCTTCCAAATCCACAACTTGGGCCATACTGTCTCGCTTGACATCTCCATCAGACCCGTGAACCTGAGAGATCGTTTTCTGCCTTCTGAATCTTTCTGTTTGTATGTTTTCTTTGTTTCAAAGTTCTCTATGATGTTCTCTTCACACTAACACCACCACCACCAGCACCACACACACACACACATCTGTATATCATATCATATACGACGAATAAGTCACTCGGTAATAATAATTTAGTGACTGATAAATATCTCATTTGAATTCACAACCCTTATCCACGATCTGACCCATATATCTATCTCAACACGCCTCCTGTTCAATTTTCATTTTCCTGGGAGGCTTCAATAGTACTATTTCCAGTATTCTACCTTGGGGAATTCAATACAATCAGAAATTAGAGGAGTCAGAGAATTGGAGGAAGGTTCATGCATACATTGGAAGAAAGGTTCATGCACCTTTATCACTGGCTGACTTTCATGATAAGAAACGACTTTATCAATATAACATGATTTTGAGACCTCACCATGCATATATAACAGAAAAAATTGAGGCTTTGTGGTCTCTACCACTTTCTTTCATTAATAAGCCTATTATTTATTCTTTGTTGGGTGTTGCCTGGTCCATCTCAGATCTTGGATTGTTATGCCGAATTAGATGAACCATCATCATGGTGGCTCCAGGAACTCGCAGCAACTACTGTCACTTGCACCTAAAAGGACCAGGAAGAAGAAAAACTGCTGTTATGTGCTTCACAACAAATGAACAATTTTGCTACAACAGCAAAATATAACAAATAAATAAAAGGAACACTATCGCTAAAAGAGAAGAAAAATACAGAGGAGGAGACCAAGATATTCTTAAAGGATTAAAAAAATCGCAACAGTTCAGAACTGCACTCCTGCTCTCCCAGTTATATTGTCCTATTATGTATCAGGCAAGTTACCACCCAGAAAACAATATACGCCTCCGTTCTTTAATATAAGACCCATTTAACTAATTTGATTAAATTAAGAAAGTTAGGTAAGTTAGTTAATTATAAGAAATGTGACACGTTTTTCCTAAAATACCATAATCATCTTTCTTAATACCCCCTCTTCTTCTTCTACTTGATTATGGTTGAGGGAGTATCTATAGGGATAATTTAGAGAAAATTGACAAATATGAGAAATGGGTCTTATATTTAAGATCCAAACCAACTCAATAATTGGGTCCTATATTAAGGACCGGAGGAGTATAAGCCAATACAGTCATTTTCACAGCCGATATTCTCTTACTTTACATCTGGATAACAGCTCCATTACATAATGCTGAAACCTGTACTAAAATTTTGTTTAATATAACAAAAATTGGGTATATAATACATTACAGAAGCCGCTATTTATTGTGTTCTTGCAGTTTTGAAACTTCAGTCCTAAATCCTGAATGCAAAAAAAAATTATTGAAAGAAAGGATCAATACTATTTATTACTTAACCAAGTAAAAAGTCAACCTTCAATTACCATTTACCAAATTTTACTATGCCAACTTTCAAATTTGTCTGTTTGTTCTGTTTTTGCAGTAAACTTACTTCAAAGGAAACAATAAATACTGTTTCAAGAAGGAGAATAAAGGAAAAGTCTACGTCCTTGTCATGAACTTTAAATGGTGTAATGGGAATTCAATATCCAACTATCAATGATAAAGGGAACATACAGAGTAAATTTGAGAGACTAGCGCGGTGCAGTTTTGATGAGATACAACAGTAGCAGCACGCCGACCTCATCATGTCAAGCAATGCAATAACTCTCTTTATCTTGCTTCTTAATATCTCCTTGTTTCCATCCGTCTATACTCTGAACCAGGAAGGTCTCTCCCTGCTTTCATGGCTTTCAACATTCAATTCCTCTGATTCTGCTACTTCCTTCTCTTCATGGAATCCAACCGACAAAAGTCCTTGCAAATGGGATTATATAAGGTGTTCCAAAGATGGTTTTGTTTCAGATATTGTAATAACATCTATCAATCTCCGTAGCAGCTTCCCAACGCAACTCCTTTCTTTTGGTCACCTCACCACTCTTGTCATCTCAAATGGAAATCTTACTGGTGAGGTTCCAAGTTCAGTAGGGAACTTGTCGTCTCTGGTTTCTTTGGACCTCAGCTTCAATGCTTTATCAGGAACCATTCCTGCAGAAATGGGGAAGTTAACTAATCTGCAGTGGTTAAAATTAAATTCAAATTCCTTACATGGTGAAATTCCAACAGAAATTGGGAATTGTTCCAAGCTTCGTCAGCTGGAACTGTTTGACAACCAGCTTTCTGGCAAGATTCCTGGAGAGATAGGCCATTTGAAAGATCTAGAAATGTTTCGAGCAGGTGGAAATCAGGGAATCCATGGTGAAATTCCAATGCAGATTTCAAATTGTAAAGCTCTCACTTTTCTGGGTCTTGCAGATACTGGGATTTCAGGGGAGATTCCTTCAAGTATAGGGGAACTTAAGAATCTCAAGACGCTTTCTGTCTACACAGCAAACCTCACAGGTCATATCCCACCAGAGATTCATAATTGTTCAGCCTTGGAGAATTTGTTTCTATATGAAAATCAGCTTTCTGGTAACGTTCCTTGTGAATTGGGCTCCATGAAAAGCCTAAGGAGAGTAATGCTGTGGCAGAACAATTTAACTGGCACCATTCCAGAAAGTCTGGGCAACTGTACAAATCTGATGGTTGTAGATTTTTCTTTGAATTCCTTGGAAGGTGAGCTCCCTGTGACTCTTAGAAATTTGCTCTTATTGGAGGAGCTTCTTCTCTCTGATAATAACATTTCTGGAGAAATACCTTCCTTTATTGGCAATTTTTCCAGACTGAAGCAGCTTGAATTAGATAACAACAGGTTCTCTGGCGAGATTCCACCTGTTATGGGACAACTGAAAGAACTCACCTTGTTCTTTGCTTGGCAGAACCAACTCTATGGAAGCATACCAACAGAACTATCCAACTGTGAGAAACTTGAGGCACTTGATCTCTCACACAATTTCCTCACTGGGTCAATTCCAAGTGCTCTCTTTCATCTAGAGAACTTAACTCAGCTATTGTTGATTTCAAATCGACTCTCAGGTCAACTTCCCCCAGATATTGGCAGCTGCACCAACTTGGTCAGGCTGCGGCTGGGATCAAACAACCTCACCGGTCCAATTCCACCAGAAATAGGTCTTTTAAGCAGATTGAGCTTTCTTGAATTGTCAGATAATCTACTCAATGGAGAAATTCCCAACCAAATTGGCAACTGCAATCAGCTACAAATGCTTGACTTGCACAAGAATCAGCTGCAAGGAGCAATTCCTTCCTCCTTTGAATTCCTACTTGTTCTTAATGTCTTGGATCTTTCTGCAAACAGAATAACTGGAAGTATTCCCCAAAATTTGGGCAAGCTTACATCTTTAAATAAGCTAATGATCAGTGGCAACAGCATTACAGGTTTGATCCCTCAGTCACTGGGCCTTTGTAAGAATTTGCAGTTGCTGGATATTAGCAACAACAGAATCTCTGGTTCCATCCCAGATGAGATCGGACAATTGCAAGGACTGGATATCCTCTTGAACTTGAGTTGGAACACTATAACAGGTCCCATTCCAGAGAGCTTCTCAAATCTCTCAAAACTTTCCAACTTAGACCTCTCCCACAACAAGCTAACAGGCAGCCTCAGAATACTGGGTAGTCTTGACAATTTAGTGTCTTTGAATGTCTCCTACAATAGTTTCACTGGTTCACTTCCAGATACAAAGTTCTTTCATGAACTCCCTGCTGCTGCATTTGCTGGCAACCCTGAGCTCTGCATTAGCAAGTGTGACATGAATCGAAATCACCAAGGCATTAAGTCAGTAAGAAATGTTATTATTTACACTTTTCTTGGTGTTATTTTAACGGCTGTATTTGTGACTTTTGGAGTGATTTTTGCTCTGAGAATTCACGGGGCCACATTTGAGAGGAAATTTGATGAAGAAAGTGAAATGGAATGGACTTTTACTCCATTTCAAAAACTTAACTTCTCCATCAATGACATTGTCACAAAGTTATCAGATTCAAACGTTGTAGGAAAGGGTTGCTCGGGGATTGTTTATCAAGTAGAGACTCCAATGAAGCAGATAATTGCAGTGAAGAAGCTCTGGCCAATAAAGAATGACGAGCCACCAGAGAGAGATTTGTTCTCTGCAGAGGTTCAGACCTTAGGATCAATAAGACATAAAAATATCGTCAGGCTTCTCGGATGCTGTAACAATGGAAGAACAAGATTACTCCTATTTGATTATATCAGCAATGGGAGTTTGTGTGGGTTGCTCCATGAAAAGAGGTTGTTCTTGGATTGGGATGCAAGGTATAAGATCATACTGGGAGCAGCTCATGGTCTAGAATATCTGCATCATGATTGTATACCTCCAATTGTCCACAGGGACATTAAAGCTAACAACATCCTGGTAGGACCGCAATTTGAAGCTTTCATTGCAGATTTTGGTCTTGCAAAACTGGTGAATTCCTCTGAGTGTTCAAAAGCCTCTGCCATAGTTGCAGGCTCTTATGGGTACATAGCTCCTGGTGAGTATATCCGCTCTGAGGCTCTTTAAACCAGTTATTGATTTTCTGTGTCATGTATCATTAATTTGTTAAAAACACTTCTTTTTTTTAATCACTATTTTGGCTTATCCTCCACGCCATTTGACTTATGAGTAATCAGAGGATTTTTCTTTGAAACTGCAGAATATGGATACAGCCTAAGGATCACAGAGAAGAGTGATGTGTACAGTTATGGGGTAGTGCTGCTGGAGGTTTTGACGGGAATGGAGCCAACTGATAATAGGATTCCAGAGGGTGCCCACATTGTCACTTGGGTTAACAGGGAAATCAGAGAGAAGAAAAGGGAATTCACATCAATTCTTGACCAGCAACTAGTATTGCAATGTGGTACTAGAACGCCAGAGATGCTTCAAGTTCTAGGGGTGGCTCTCTTGTGCGTAAATCCATCCCCGGAAGAACGACCCACCATGAAAGATGTGACAGCAATGCTCAAGGAGATCAGGCATGAAACTGACAATTTCGAGAAACCAAGTTTTCTCCAAAAAGGGGCAGTCACCAATCAAAAAGTCGCAGTTCACTGTTCAAGTTTCTCCAGATCATGTGAACCACTAATAGAATCGTCGTCGTCGTCATCTTCTTCCTAATTTTTTGTTCATTCAAGTAACAAAATAATTGTATAGATTAGTCTCAAATAGCAATTCCAAATTTCTGCCTTTTGAATGGAAGCTATATATACAAGCTAACTCTTCAGTTCAAAGCAAACCATACATACTGGAAGTCTGGAACCATCCATCCTTCGCAAGTCCTCCATTTCATAGAGCGTATCATTTCGTAATATTCTTTTGTGCATCTTATGTATCCTTTTTATAAGAATAAAATACAACCCCTTGTATGTAACCAAAAAAAAAAAATGAAGAGTCCCTTGTATAATTTATACTGTAAACGGGCATGCAGCTGTAAAAGCCTTGTCATATAGCTACAGAGTAGAGCATAATTCAGTCCACTAAAGAACATTCTTTGAGGAATCGGGTCTCTCACCAATCTAAAACCTGTTTCTGCCGACAACAAATGGCAGAGGAAGTAAACATGTTGAACAGTGTGGTAAAGTAACGAGACTTTAAGGGTTCAATTAACCTTAGCAGCTATAGGATAAGGAACCTGAGGAAACAGACATAGCATCCAAATGGATGGAGAGAAGGGCCAGAGAAAAGCGTAGGTGACGAGGCCTATCTTGGCTGTAAGCTTATAGAGGGCAAAAATCATAGGAAGCATCTGGGCCACCACCCTCTCAATTGTCCCTACAATAATTTCTGTGAAGATAGAGAGAGAGCTGGTGCTCCATGTTCTTGAAAGATACGTAGCCAGGAGACCATCCTAGGCCCACAGATATTGCAATGGATCGGATGTCCACTAGTTAAGAACGCAAGTAATCACCAATGTTAAGTAATCACAATATTTTCCCATTCGAGAAACATGAACCTCAAAACTAAAAGGTAAGGTAGTACATCTAGATGTAGTTCAGCTCATCTAGAACCACATCATATATAATCAAATAATCTACTGGCGTGTAGATTATAGCAATACAAGCAAGAAGGGAAGGTGAGGATATGTGGAATGACTTGTAGAAAAGTGCAACTATTACTATTTCAGCAGATACATAAGATGGTCTAGTCAACTTACAAGTATAACCCAATAGTATTATGTTATGAGTCACGTATCTGAAGGCTTCACAAATGTAGTGTGATTTATAAGTCAAGCGGCTCTCTCTAGGTTAGCTTTCCTTTCCTTTTGATTTGTGATTTGCAGCTAAAGAATTCTTCCCATCTATACATGGGCTCCACATAAGCGGATTTATTTTCTTCGTTAATGGATGAAGTCTACAGTGAGGACTAGGCAAGAATTGCCAGCAGTTGATATCAAAGCAACATGCTGTAAAGCAGGAAAAGGGAAAAGAAAAAGGCTGCAGTAATAGTACTTTCATTGGATTTGGTGCTGTAATTAGCCATGAAACTGAATTCATTTAGAAAGAAAAAATTACAATCATGTGAGAAAGTGTGACCCATCGCTTTCTTTCTTTCCCCAACCAACCTTCCATGTTTGGCGAATTTATGCTACAGGAGACACATGATCAGACACTACACGTGTAGTTTGGAGGCAGAATCTGAAGTGTTGGGCGGAATCAATGATACAAAATAGATGAATATCATAACCTACCACACAGATTTTTAGGAGCAGAACAAGTGTACTGAAGAAATAATAGCGACAAAGGCAATAAAAGGAGGCTTCTATTGAAGTGTCTCCTAATAATAGATTTCGCCTGACGAGCATATCAGAAATCAGGAAGGAGGACTTGTCACGGTGACCATGACAATTCGAATGCGTTGTGCCACAAAGAAGACAAGTTTTTTTGGAGCGTTAATTGCTTCGCCAAATAAACTTGTATGGAAGGACATCTTCAGGGAAGCCATTTGACCTTCTATGATCGGGCTGTGAACAAAAATGGAAAGAAAGCCAAAAAAAAAAAAACAATAAAAGCATGTCTTTACTTATAGGCAAAGCAAATGAAATTTTTAAATTGAATTTTTTTTTAGTGCTACATATAGATAGTAGTACTAAATGCTTCCAAGATTGTGTTGTGCTTGATCATCTGAAACATTATTGTTTTCACTAATATAAGGATTTGCTAAAACTAAAGGTAAATTCTTTAATCCACAGCTCGCTCATCATTTAATCTGCTCTTCAAGTTCAAAATATTATAATTAAATGCTTAAAATAAAAATCGATTTAATGACCTGCATGAATTTGTTGCAGATAATTTTTAATATTTTTATAATGACCATTTTTAGTAATATTCAAATCGGAGTCAATCACTGAGTTCATAGTATTAATTCAGTAAACCCATTAGGTTATCTGAAACCTGGATAGACTCGACCTGTACGGATTCGTTTTGACCATGTGCAGAGCGGCGTGTGGGGAACAAGTTCATATAGTTGGAATCTTCCAGATAAAGTTACAAAGAAGATACCCTTTATATGTCAACTTGTGGCAATTACATGACATCCTATGGTTATTTTACCACCAATCCACAAGAAGAACCTACTAACAATTAAGTTCCTTTTTTTTTTTTTTTTCATTCGGCATTTCTCTGTGATTTACGCATAAATCATTTTAAATTAGTATGACTTATATTTAAATAAATTTGTTATCATACGCTAGATTTTAATTATATAATTTGTTACTATACATTACACTTTAATTATATAATTAAATATTTTAATAAAACTAAAATACTCCTCCGGTCCTTATTATAAGACCCCATTTGACTTTTTATTTGGTCCTAATTATAAGACCCAAATCCATTTTGTCTCTTATATTTATGCATTTTTTTCCAAGATAATCCTTCAAATAATGATAATTTTAGCCAATATACTTAATTAGTAAGGATATTTTAGGAATGACAATACTTATTTATTATAAATAACCAACTTAACTTACTTCCTTGATCTCCTCAAATAAGTCAATTGGGTCTTATAATTAGGACCGGAGGAGTATTTTTTTCTTTGACTTTATATAATATTTCAATTTGATCCCTTAAAATTAAAACACATACTTTTAGTCCTTTAATCCAATAAATTTAATTTTAACATTTAAAAACACTTTACCAACATTTAAAATCAAAATATCATCATTTTTATTAACAGGATTAAAAGATTAAAAATATATTATTTAAAAGTTAAAGAACTATATTAAAATCTTGTATGAAATTAAAGTTTTAAAAGTATAATTAAGCCTTTTAATAATTATTCATTAATACACGCAAACTTATACAAATTTACCCCACGAATTTACACAACAAGTTTATATTTGCGCTAAAAATTAATTTAACTCCAGAGTTTGACAAAGATATAACGTTAATAACTAGAGAGACTGTACGGAACAGAGATACAACTGTCCCGCATGCGCTCTAAAGGCAACATGCATCAAGTTTTCATAGTTAAAAAAAAAAACTATTAAGAGGACAATTTCCACAAGAATTACAAAATAGAACTCATGGTTATAGCATAGAGCCCTGTACTGATAAACGGGGGGCAGAAACAACTGTTTCATGACAGAACGGGAGCCCGGAACTCTCTAAAAGCCTATCTCCTTAACATATAGTATTTACGTGTTAAATAAGTTACACTACATACAGATACAGTATGCAGGAGAAACCAAACCAGCACACCATTTTCGCCTTTTAAACAGCACTTTTTGGAATCAAGGTGATGAAATGAAACAGGAACACTGGAAGAAAGGAAAGAGCAGTAAATGTCGCATAATTCAAAATCACAATGGCTGAAATCGCTAAATCCCGGAACACCTTGAAGAGTATAAGAACTGGAACTCACATAAATATCTTGAGAGAGATTTTCGCAGCTCGACATTATCACGCTCTCCCTGGATGCCACTTTATGCTGCATCCCATACTTTATACAAGAAGAAAATGATGACTCTTAAGTACGTGATCATGATGGAAATCAAAGATGCCCGAACAATTTGAAAGGAATGGCAACATGTATTACCTGGGCTTTTGGTCTGATGGTACTGGCTGGCCACTAAGAACTCGATCTATCGCCAGACTCAGGTCCCTTTATTTATTTAAAAAGAAGAAAAAATTACAGGTTACCGCATGTTTAGATAGATCCATCAGCTGACAGTTCAATTAACCTCAGTTAAAGAAGCCAACCTTCCAGTGACAGGCACATTGCTATTGGGCCGTGAATCATCAAACTGCCCATGATAAACTAGCTCAAACGGCCTCCGACCATCCTGTCATTTCATAGGGTTGGTTTAAGGTTTCAAAGAAAGAAGTGGATACCAGCTCTCCGGCGCACACCTTTGTAAATTCATGCTTAACAGTTAACACTGAACCGCAAATGCAACTTATATGCCAGTTCTTAAGGTTGATTTTTAATCTATCAATTTCCAAGAGTCAGGGCACGCTAGAAGTGATTACCTTTTTAAAAAGGTAAAATTCCGGTGTACAGACTGCTCCAAAATCTCTTGCTGCATCTTGGGTCTGCACTCCAACATATTCCACCATTATCATGTAAGATTTTACCAGCTTCAAGAAAGACATGAAGAATTCACGAATTCTTCAATAAGTTGTTTTCAGTGATCTTTGTAAGTTAAAAACCCTCAGCAGTTGCTGTTTCATATGAGTTTATGCTATCAGAAAAAGGGAGTTCCGAAATTATCATCAAATTGTCAGCATGACTTAGAAACACGCTAAATATTTAAAACATGTTAATTAAATATAATGATAACCGAGTTGCATTGTGTCCCATTCATATCTTGAGAAATTGATATTCCCAGGGATCATGTCAGGTCTCAGATTTCTCAAAACTTCAGAATGAATATTCAATAAACTTTATGAATGAAATAGGTCTACCAGTTATCAGTATCAAATTCATTCCGCGCCAGTGACACAAGAGGACAAGCAACTCAATTTTAAGCTGTAAAAGTGGCCTATAGAGAACCTAACAAATAACTTCATCACGTTAATATATGAACAGAACAATGCTGATTTGCATCAAAAGGAGTCAGTTGATAATTAGGCTAAACAAATAAAATCAGATAGGCATTTGTGCAGCTATAAAGGAAATAATTAACAATGAAGACATTGATATTTACTGTAGCGCACCTCATCATAGAGATATGGGAAAGGATAGTTGAACAGCTTAGCTTCTTCAGCCATAAATTCTGGTCCATCCTGTGAGGAACAATCCCACGTTGGACAAACAAT